GTGCGTGGGGGATGCAGGTGGGCGTGTGGCAAGGGCGGCGCGGGGCTCTCACAGGGGCGGCCAGGCGCGCCTTCGTTCGTAGGGAGGCGGAAGGCTGGGTGGGGCAGGCGGCGCACGAGGACAGCCGAGAGGCAGGGAGCGAGAGGGAGGAGAGGAGGAAAGGAGGAGGGAGGGGGGAGGGGAATGTCGGGCAAGAGGAAGGAGCGGAGCTGCTTGTTGCGTTGTCCTGGAAGGGGACTCTGCCAGGGGAGCCTAATATCCGGCGGGAGGCGAACGGCACAGGGCCCGGCCTGGCCTGCCAACTGCTCGGGCGTCCATGGACCAGACGGGGTGGCATGCGGGGCTGGGAGGCCCCGCCGGACGGGACTCAGGGGGGCGGCGGATGGCCAGCTAGCAGGGGGGTGAGGGAGGGGGACTGGGGGTGCTTTCGCTCCCCGGACCCGGGGGGGGGGGGGGGGGCGCCAGGCTCTCCCCTCCTCGTGTGCAATCCCGAGCGGACACATGCCTCGGCGTTAGCATGCCATGTGCTGAGTTCTGGGGAGAACTGAAAACCCCATCCCGAGCCCTGGGGGGCCCCTTCGGCCCCCCCCCCCCCCCACTTGAAGACATGAACGGGGGCCGATTTGTACCCTGCGCCGGGCAAAGAGGGCGCGAGCAAAAACAACTCAGCAAACAGGCCAAGAGACAGGCTACAGACGTGGGACGTGCAACGGGGGGCCGGCCGACCGGTGATCGCACAGGCAGACCCATGCGCACGCACACACGCGCGCAAGCCGCAGAGCTACTCCGAGGGCGACCGGCTCGACGAACAGGCAATCCGGGCATGCCCCCGCGTCGAATCCGCGCACACGGCGCCATTGTGTTCGCAGCCATGGAGGCCAGCCACTAGCGTGCAGCCCCCCCCACCCCCCCCCCCCCGGGCCCCATGGTTGCCGGGACGCCGTCCCAGCCGTCGGCCTCAGCCGGGAAAGGGAGCAACGGCGGACAGGGGGGGAGGGGGGGGGGGGAAGGACACTCTCGGGAAACGGCGGGAAAAACACCACGCATCCCCCGCCTCCGCCCGGCACACGGCCTGGGGACAAGAGCGGGGGTCAAACGCGAGGGACTGCCAACTGTCTGTCGAGTGGCACGTGCTAAGCGCACGAGTTCTGGGAGTGCCTCCGGGCCGCACCCTTCGCCGATCACTCGCAGCCGCCCCGGCCGCACGCCCGCGCACACGGGCGAGGCGCTTGGGCGAGCAGCACCCGGCGGGATCCTGGGTGAACGGGGACCCAGCAAACCGGGGCGTTGGAGCACACAGGCAGGACAAAGTGGCCCGCCCAAGGGCATGGATGGCTCTCCGGTGCTCGCTGAAAAGCGATCCCGCGAATGGCTGGCGCTTCGGGGCAGGCACCAAACGCATCTGCGGCCACGACACCCCTCTCTACCCTCACATCCTACCTGCGCCACATGCTGCCATGGATGCACATCCCCCAGCGGCCATCTACCGCGGCCGGATACAATCCCTAAATGCCCTGCTGTACATGCGCACACACACACACACACACACACACACATAAGCACGCGCGCGTGCATCGATTGTAGGCCACCTGTCTGACGCCCCTGACCTCCGGCCCTGGTGGCCTTGCTCGCGTGTCCTCCTCCTCCTCCTCCTCGACCATGGTGCCTCTTCAGAGCTGAGCATCGTACCTTGGAAAAACTCCGACGGAATCTCCTTCGGGAGTGTCCGTCGTACCGACACCAGGTGACAGTTGTCCCTCCGCCCGACCCGACGGCCGGCAGCGTTCACATCCCCATGTCGCATGTCACCTGGCGCGCGGCCAGTGGGGTTCTCTCGGAGATCCGCTCTCTTTGCGAGGACCGGCAGGCGGCGGTTCGCCAGAACATGCCGGCCACCGTGCTGGATCAGATTGATGATGACATTGTTGAGGTGCGTACAGAGACTGGCATGCGAGGCGGACCTGCTTGTTCGTTGCCACCTGCCTCTCCCCGCAGGACACCCCTGGCCATATGGAGAGGGATCGGGCGATCGGGCGATCGGGCGATCGGGGGGGGGGGGGCGTCAGGCGGAGGGGGAGCATCGCGACGAGGGGACACTGGCACGCGATGCTGACAGATCTCGGCCCCCGGGTGGCCGCCACATCGTAGCTGGTCACCGCCATCAGCTTTGTATACTCGCCACGCGGCACACCGGCTCCCTCGTTGCTGCGCAAGATCCATCGATTGCGACGGTCGATGCTGGACACCCTCCGGGCGATGGCCTTCGCTCTTCGGGAAAACGACCTTCCCCCAGTGGCCCGACATGCGATGGGCCTGCGCTTTGACTGCGTTCCTGACCTGGAACCCACCCCCGCCGAGGGGGGGGAGGAGTGAATGGAAAAAACCGCGAAGCACCGATGTACCAAAAAATAAAAAATGCTCATGTAAGGCCGCAGGCGCTCGTGCTCCTTCTCTCTCACGCACACACGCGTGCAATGGACACTTCAAAAACAGGGGCGGCAATGCCGAGGCGCGGGCACGGCGGGCGGGCGTGTGACGCTGCAGGCCAAGGATCTATTAACTGGAATGGTTAATGTCGCAAGTGCTACTTTGCTCTTCACGTGGGCCTATTGACCCGTGGCTAGAGGCCGAAGAGGAGGGTTTTTTCCCCTGTGCTCCCGACTTGGGGGCCGGGGGGGGGGGGGGGGGTCCAACCAAGAAAGAACAAGGCCATCATTTTTTATTCCCATATAAAGTGAGTTGTTCTCTTCCATGTGTGTGTGGTTTTCTGGCGTTGTCCCCCATTCTCGTTGGGGGAAAAGACAATGTTTGAGGTTCTCCCCCGGGCTCGGGCGGGGGAGCACGGGCTTTGGTGGGGAAATCCGCGTGTCCTGCCTTGGCCTGGCGCCGTGCCCGGGGGCGCTGGTATCCCCTCTGTCTGAGGCCCAGTCCCAAGGGGCTCACAGTCGCAGGGGGGTGGGCGGGCACCGGGGGGGGGGGGGGTATGCATGGATGTGCGCGCGTGTGGGAGGGCCGTGACGGGCGCGTGCGGGACCCGCTGATTGGGCATCGGAACCGTGCGCCAGGGCGGGGCAGGGGCGGGGGTCGCGTGGGCACACCGTGTCCCGCCGGGTTTCGGTTTCCTTGAACTCACCCCCAGGGGGGGAGTGTGTGTGCGGGC